TTGGGACGAATGTGGAACAGTCGAATGTCCGACCATGGAATTCATTGGCCACAAGTGCTTCGAAGGTATAGTAGATCGGGTTGATCCACCGGATCCAAGAAAGCCACGGATGCATGTACGGCTGCGGAAGAGTAAACCCAGTATAAACGACAATGCAAAGCACAAGCACACCGGCAATCGCCATAGCCTGCCCAGAAGTTTTAGTCAACGCACCGACACTGCGGAACATGCCAGACATAGACAAAACTGCAGTGAGCAAGAATAGGTAATGGATGAAGAAAGCTCCCGCTTCGCGGCGCAGGTTTGCCATGAAGTAGAGGACTATCGTGAAAATTGAAATTCGTATGATCTTGATCGGTAGATCGACGACAAGACTGGCTAGGGCTTCGGTGAATGGGTGGACAAAGGCATATCCAGCTTGCTTTTCGACGACAGGGCGCTGAGCATAAAGTTGAAGGATTTCGTTGATCGTAAGTAGAGCGTTCATAAGCACAGCAAAATACATCACTGCACCCTTTTGGAAGAAGAAGCTGGGTGAATCCGGAGTATTGTAGAAGATGGATCCAATGATCAGAGAGAGAACGATCTGGACAACAACCGGTGACATGGCTGTTGGGAGATCCTGAAGCATTCGCTGGTGGGCTCTGCGCGTGCAAAGCCGAACCTGCATAGGGATGGAGAGCAGGAAAGGGCTGCGAGATCGAGTGTGGTGGGCTTGCCGCTCTTCGTGGCTTTCCATGAGCCTCTTCGCGTCGTCTCCATTTGGCGGATGTTCACTTTCGAACTTGGAAATATCGTCATGCAAAAGCTGACACTCCGGGCTCTTTTTCCAATGCTCGGAAAACTCCTTCGCTGTGCGGGGAACCTTGTTCTCCATGCCAGGCCGTGCCGTCCGTTCTGCGGGGTTGGTGATAGCAGTCAAGAAGTCGCCGCTGACTTGGCGCTCGGGTCTCTCCCAGCCCATGTCTTCGAAATAGGATACTGCACGGTCTCTGGGTCCGTAGTAGATCTGGTATCCTTCGTATAGCAGGATCACCTTGTCGAAAAGATCATACATTGATTGCGATGCTTGGTAGGCTGCAATGGCATGGCAAGACTTTCCCATATCAGCTGCGAGACGCAGTGAGCTAACAAATTTCAGAGCGGATGCAGCATCCAGACCACGGGTGCTGTTGTCCCATGCTCCGATGCGACAGCGAGCCAGAAACATCTCAGCAATACTGACTCGCTTTCTCTCACCTCCACTAACACCACGTACAAATTCATTGCCCACCTTGGTGTTGTAGGTGTGAGACAATCCAAAGACGGACAGAACTACCTGAGTGATTGTCTCAACGTATTCATCGCGGGTCATACCTTCCGGGCGTTGTTGGGGTGCACGAGCATGGGCGGCGAATGTGAGGGTCTGACCCACAGTCAAGTGAGGGAAATGAAGGTCGACCTCCTTGTTGTATGCAACCTCTCCTCGGTGATGTTTGATCATGTGATCAAATGCAACTCCTTCGTAATGAAGTTTACTTTCAGGCTCTACTGTCAAACCCCCAAGGTGTCCGCAGATAGTCTTCAGGAAAGTCGTACATCCACTACCGGGTCGACCCAAGACAAGAAGGAGTTCTCCTCCCTGAAGTAGGCCATCGAAGCTGCGAAGGATTTGTCTAGGTGGTGAGCTCCGTCCCGTCAAAGCTCTTATCGCTGATTGGAAGGGCACTTTCAAACTGGAAGTGAGAGTTTCCTGGTATTGAAGAGCGGAGCCGGAACCGCTCACACATAGATTGGAGAAGACCACGCCTTGCTGAAGGATATCAATGCCTGAGTCATTCACCTGGTCCAACACCATCTGCGCCCATCGGTGATGATCAAATCGGGGGTTGGTTGGATCCAGGTGGGGGTCGAGACCTTCTTTCTTGCTTGCCGATCTTGAAAGTTGTTGGCCAAGTTTGCTGGAGGCAATGCGAGTCAAGGCCTGTTGTTCTCGTTCCTCTAGAGCAGTTGCAGTTCGCGCCGTGATTGGAGCGAACTCGGGCTCATCGTGGTCCTTCTCCATGGCGAGGAATGGACTTGTGTGTAAGAGCGTAAAACTCTAGGCTCTTGAAACAGGCGAGCGAACCTGACCCTTTTAATCAAAATCATTGTATCGGTGGACGGACAGCGAAGCCACCGAAGTTATCCACCTCTACCTCGTGGGGGGGGGGAGGCTTTCCGACGTACAACGGAGAAACGGAGTCCGTTTCACCGAGCTCCCTTACCTATTTTGGGTATTTAAGTGGGTCGATTATGAACCTCCAAGGTTCAACTGCAACGTCAATGCTATTAGCACGGAGTTTATTGGGAGGTTCTGCTCGAATCTGCCATACAAATTAAGAAATATATCTATGTCAATACATGCTCAACCAAAGTCCACGAGTATCCCATGCCTGCACACCACTCCATTTAGGCTTCCTACTTTATCTCCGTACCATTTTCAGGTATGCCTTTGTTTACATCGAGTTTAACATCAAATTTGGGCAATGGATCCACACATCTCCTACCCTTTGTCCGACCCCGAGCATCAATAGCTGATATCGGTGATTAGGGGGAATTTTTCCCATCTCCAGAGCCTAGCCCCGAGGTCTTTTTTGCTGTGTGCAATATTTGTAATCTTTACAATAGTGGCTCATCCTATAGACTTGGTCCTCAATCTACTTGTCGTTTCAAGGGTTTAAATATAGACCATCGGCACACAAGATGGTTTAAATTAGTTGGACTCTAAGTGGCTGAGTCTGAACAGGGACGAACTATACCACTCAACACATGCAGAAAGTTGCCCCTGCAAAGCTGAAATTAAAAATCTCAAGCAAGCCAGAGCAAGTAAGAACAGTTAGCACATAGAGTGGATTTAAATTCTAAAGAGGAAGGGCCTAGGTAGCTGCACTGAAAGAGCAGCTCAGGAGAACTCATCTCACTCGGAATGTAAAACCATGACAATTAATTTGTATTTTTAGAAAGAAACTGAGACTGTAGGCTTCCTGTAATTGGATGAACCTGCCACAACCCTCGAGCCTGTTCATGGGACACTAGCACCATTCAGCTCTCCTCCTATCCTTGCTGTGTCCATCCCTTCGGTGGTACCTGCCCCTCACAGTTCCAGATTGTATACCATGAAGAGTCTGATGCAACTTTGCTCAAGCCTCACCACCCTCCTTCTAAGCCCAGCAATGATACGCAAATTGATCACCACGGGACTGAATTGTAATACTACCCTCAGACACCAACGCTGCCACTGTACCAGCAGCAATGAACTCAGCAAACTCACGCAGCTCCTCATAAGCAATCCACCTCTTCTCCACCCGATAGCCCAACGTGTAGGCAATTTCCGGCACTGAAGCCACTGCAACGGAGTCGATCGCATCGTGGCTATTCACCTGGCTCAAAGTGAGCTGATCGCCGTCCCACTTCACTCCAATGAAAGCAGAAGTTGAGTACTCATCAATTTCAGTGCGAGGCGCACTATCCAAATGAAGATTAATCCCAAACCCTTCCTGCCGCACCTGGTCACTGTTCCGCAACACAGGGGCATATTTCCCACCAACCTTGGCAGTGCTGATTCCGTGCGGTGCACAGCGATCAAAGTCCTCCAAAATCAGCACTTTTTCCGCGGCAGCTCCGTGGTACACACCAGTTGGTTATAGCAAATACAACCAGCGTTGTATCCTCTGGCGAACTTGGCCCTTGTTACGCAGAGGATGAGTATGGGTCTGACATATATTGCGGCGCCGGAGTCGTGGAGTGGTCCATGCTCGCATTTGCACAGACTGCTAGCTGCATGCACTAGATGAAAAGAATCCTCTGGAACGACTAGGATGGAGACTCCTTTAGCGGAGTACTGCATGCGCTTGGCGTTGCAGTTGGGGCGAAAGATGGTTAGCTTGTCATCGGCTAGGTGGCGGAAGGCTTTAAATCCTTCGTAGACTAGCTGGCCCTAGTTTTAGCCCGGCGTCATCCCGTGTATGGGTAGGAAGTGTGAGGCGACGAATTGCAGTGCAGACCATTTGTTGTTACCGCTATGGGAGAAGACTATGTTGACAGGGCCGTTGCCTGACAAGAATGAAAATGTCCTGTGATCTACTATAGAGCCTTTTGTCTACC